CCAAAATGGCCAAGTTTGGGCCCCGGGAATTACAGAGCACTGTTTTTACAGCGGTTTGAAGTTTCGGAAAATTTAGAGGATTTGTATGGAAAATGTTGCTGGAGAGCAAGGCCTTGCTTTCCAGCAACTTTTTCCATATAAACCTTCTTATTTATTAAAAAATTCAGAGTGTCATCAAATCTCACTTTTGAATAATGGAGACCTCAAACCTGGCCATTTTGTTATTTTCCAAATGCTTTTTCCTTTTCTGAATTCGGCTAAGTTATAGCCCATAATTTCATGAAAAGTAGGTCACGTGATGGCTTAGCTGCAAAAGGCCTATTGCACTCTACTTAGTTCAACTACCGTTATGAAAACATGCATGTGGACATCATAAGCAATATACTTTCAACGGTAGGTTTTTCTCGACTTAGTTATTGGACACATCTGATTATGTCTAGCCATCGGACTGGGTTCCTCAACACAAGGTTCTTACTGATGGTTTTCACTGGTGTGTGCCCTAACAGGTGGTCGAGAAGTCGAAGTGATTGGTACACCAGAACAAGATGCTGAATCACCTATACACAAAGGTAAAACACCTCCTGACCAGCGAATATCGTGCCGGGCTCTAGGAGAGGCTGATCACGAAGGATGGCTAATAAAGAAAGGTGAGAGCAACTACTTAAGCATAACTCCTTGTCGTAAGATAAGCTTCTAATCTTACCTAATATATGTGGAAGTAAGGAATTCCAAGAAACTTTTACTTGATTGAAGTATTTACGTTATGGCATAACCCGATACTACAAACCGCTTAATAACGAAGTATTCATTTACTAATGGGTAAAGACTGGCCAGTTATAGCGCTTACCTCTTCTCTGGTATTTTGTGTTTTTTCTTGCCCAGTGAGGTGTAGCGGGAGTTGAATTTATAAAGGATGAGATCAGAATTTTGCGCCCAAGATTAGTACACCCTGTGCGTCGAGATGCGCGATTTTCGTCACTGACGCGCTTTTCCAATATTAACGCCTGATACGTTAGCCATGTACCCCAAAAGGATGGGCCAATGGTGGACTTTAATGGGAATCTGTTTCATGCACATTGGCTGTTACCCGCCTTCATGATAGATTTTGATGTAGTGTCTCTTAAAAGTGATGTTGACAACTTTTATAAAATCTTAGCTGGAAAACGGGCTACCATATTGCGGGGCTTCATTACTATCGAATTTTTGCAGGAGGTCCTTTCTTCTTCGCGAGCTGGAAGCGTAAGTGGGTGGTGTTGAAGGACGGAAAACTGTATTACTTCAAAACTGCTTTCGACCCAGAGGCCAGTGGAATTATTAACATGCAAGGAATAACTGTGGTTCCAGCCCCTGAAACTAAAAAGAGCTTGTAAGTATACGTACTCAAACATATTTTCAGTGTGTGTGTGCGTACAGTTGGTGTCGGTTAATGCAATTAGGGAATTTAAGCAAACCACGACGGCGACGGCAACGAGAACGTGGAAAAACAATTGATCTAATTGGCAGAACAATAGCCCAGCACGTGCGTTTTAAAACTTTGTACATTTCTTAGCCGTTCTTTGCAAAACAGCAACGTGAAATCCCCAAAATTTGCGTTGTCTGCGAACCGAAGCCGTGGCAGAATATTATTTTAATTTACATTTGGAACTCAACGCTACTTGTAGGCGTTATGTTGAGTTTGAGGTCTGGCGCCCTATGAGACGGTAAACACATGCAGCCATTTTGGAAATTCTAACTAAAAGTAGAAACTCGTATTTTAATCGACGCCTTCCGTGACGTTGCCGTCCTGACTGCTTAAGTTTCCTATTAACGTCACAGAACAGAGCTGACTAAACATCGATAGAGTATGAACCTCATAGCCTGAAGGCCCACGAATTGGTTGTAAAGAAGACGAAGGTGCACTTGGCTTATGTTTATCCAAACCTTTGATAGAGATCGTATTAGGCTTAAAAAAATCAAACAAAAGGAGTTTCGAATTTTTTTATCTGCACTTGCTAAGGGTGTTGTTGTGGTCATAATTAGCTATTTCAGATGAAATACATTTCCGATTCAATGCCTCCCGGGAATGGGAAGCACAGTTTGAGGGTTTTTCTGTTTGTTTGTCTCCCGTAGTTAGTAAGTTAATAGGGAGTTTAAGCAAATCACTACGGCTGGCGCTGCTACGGCTATCGTGGTTGACGAGGCTTGGGGAGAGTACGTCGCCGTAGCCCGCCAAAATTCAACTTTAAGCAACGCGAACTACAAACCTAGTACGGCTGAGAAGTTTAAAACCAATAANTGCTCAGGAGAATGTATAAAGCGAAGAAAGAAGCGAGATAAGTTCACGTACCACAGACTACGCCGAAACCTTCCCACTCGCGTAGAAGGATTTCCCGCAACGGCTGGATGGGTACCACTTACATGCGCAATGACTAATTTCTAGACAATTTTACTTCCGGTAGCCGTAGCTGCGCCAGCCGTAGTGATTTGCTTAAACTCCCTAATCAGTTCCTCAGTGCGTTAGCTTGCTAGTTAGTTAGTTGGTCACCTTGTTTGTTTGGTTTGATGAGTAACTGCATGGCTCCTGAAAAAAAACTTATTTGGTAGAGTTGTTAAGGGGTAGTTGACTCATTAGGAATCATTACTCATATTTCTTTTTTTAAAATTTATACACAAATTGCATCCTCCTTCCAGCTGTTTCAAATGTGAGCAGTCGGGTCCCAAACCTCAAGTGTTCCTATTTATGGCTGAAAGTAAAGAAGAAATGGAAAGATGGCTGTCTGTGTTGACGGCTGCTTCCAAAGGAGAAGCTATACAAAAGACTAAGCAGCAGCAACTGGCGGTCAAGGATGAAGTAGTCATGCGCAAGAAGTCAGGATCAATCAGTTCAGCACAGAGAACGAGTTCTGTACTTGGTCAGTATTAGGAAAAAATAGGGCGAATAAAAATGATTCAATTTCGGTATATGAGCAACTACCCACCTACCCCTCCCCGAACCAAATAGCAGTCAACTGATGACAAGGTAGGGTTAATGTTGGGCTAGGGGAGGGTTGGGTGCGGCGTTATTTAGACACCGACACTGATCCAATGTTAAAATGGAGAAATGATAATGATAACTGGTATGACGATTGTGATTATAAAGATAACTATTCCGTTTAAAAGTGACTTCCTGTATCAAAACATCATTTGTTTAGGTTTATAAAACAAATCACAGCGGCCAATGAAAACAAAGAAAACTGTCACATATTATGAGCCAATGAGGACTCGAATTACATTGCGGTAAATGGTCTTAAACAAGCAAAAACGTATGCGGCAAGTCGCTTCCTACGACAACAGCGAACAATACATTCACTATCTAGTGTAGAGGGTTGATCGAAACTATAGTTCTTAAAACACAGGTTTAGTTTTCTTTTACATAGTGGTCGTCTTGCTAGAGTAGATATTGATGTCGCCCTTATACTCTTATTCTAGAGAGATTTTCTCCCTCCAAGCGGGTATGATAAATTCATATCTATGAAATCGAAGTAATTTGAGTCGTTTAGTTTAAAATTTAACGACGCTTCTCTTACTTTGCAGCTTATGGAGGGCGTCATAGCCTTATAGAAGACGAAGACGATTCAAAGTCTGCGAGGAGGAGGTCTACTCCAGGCTCTTTCTCAAAAGTACCACAACTGACAGAGACAGAGGAGAAAGAAGAGACAAAATCTGTACTCTTTGAAACAGAACCGCTACAGAGTAGTACAGAGCCAGTTACGGAACCCACAGAGGAGAAGCAAAAGGAAACAAGCGAAAGTGGAGATGGCCAATCGTCGGAAAAGCGTGAAGCTTCCGTGGATGAAGTTGTAGTAAGTGGAGGGCAGGTAGTCCTAGAGTCTTCAACACCTGTTGAGATTTCTCCTGAAAAAGACGCCCCGCCCGTGGATAGCTCGGGCGAGGCTGCCTCCACTGAAGCTGCGCCTGAAGGGGACAAGCCAGACGCAGGAGCCTCGCCTGAAGTGGAAGAGCGAGACAAAGGAGCGGTTGACGCAGAGGAGAAGAAAAAACCTGAGTATGCTCGGCCCGAACAAGAATCAGCCGGATCAGCAGTTGACACAACGGACGGAGATAGAAGCGTCGTCACGACAGAGAGCTCTGTTACTGTCGTGGAGACAGCAGAAACAACCTCAGTAGTCTCCGAGAAAGTTGAGACTATAGTGTCAGTGGTTAAAACGGAGGTAACAGAAGTTACACATTCTGAGTATCAAACGGAAACAGTTGAGGTGGAACAGGATACCAAGGGAGATGTCTTCGAAACGAGCCCGACGGAGCCTGACGCCAGTGAACCAGTTTCCCCATCAAAAACCAAATGGTACTTTACCCTAGACAGACAGGAGTCATGGTCTGTGGCGACCGAGACTGAGGAAAAGAAACCTCCGGTACATAAGAAGTCTTCCAGCTCGGTTAGCGACAAAGGATCGATTAGGAGCGACAGATCATCGATTAAGAGCGACCAAGGATCGGTAAAGTCCTCTTCGGAAGATGATCAGCTTTTGGTCTTGTGTCGAAGTATCAAAAAAGCGCGATTGTCGATAGTAGGTGACCGGATGTGGGAGGGTCCGGATAGACTACGGGCGTGGTCAACTGTGAAGGATAATTCAGAGGAACAAGCATTTGTCAGACTCAAGACCTTGGAAAGAACTCTCAAGGTACGTTTCAATTTGCCATTTTCTTAGCTCTTAAACTTCCCAAGCTGATTCGTAATTTTCTCTTTTGGCTACCATAGATGTCTAATTTTATAAATAAACTCACTTCCACTAGCTGCTGAGTTATATTACTCAAGAATGAAAAGGTCAAATAAATCTAAGACTTTAAAAGAGGTGTTACATTCATTTGAAATTCTCCTCAGTAGCGTTGACAGTAACGTAATTTTTAGCATGAATGCTTATTCAGAAAACGTTATCAATTCCCCTCGACCTTTTTAAGTTAGTGTCAGACGCGTGAAGAGATTATAGAGCGATATGATTTTCTGTTCGCCTGATTAGAGAGTATCTCTAAAACGAGGAGTTCCTCGTTACAAACAGCCTGAAAAAGTACACTATCCTTTCTTGGTCCCCGGGCAGTCACCAGGATCGCATCAATTGCTCTTTGTACAAGTTATACCAATGCTACTACAACTCTTGTTGTGGTTCCCAGGCCCCAAAAAGTCTGTTAGTTAAAAGCTGAAACTACTTACAATGTTGTAAGCTCAGCCAGACGATTCACTGAAACTTTGTAAAGCTCTTTTTTTTTTTTTTCTGTTTTGGTTTTTTTGTTTTTATCTCGTAGGACAAAGAAAAGCATCTGTCAGAACTTGAAGAATTATTGACCCAACCGGAAATAAACCGAGACTCCATTTACGCATGGAAGTTGCGCTATTCCGATCTGGTAGAAGAGATGTTCCCGATAGATGATGGAGATGATGGGCGGGAGAAAGTCAAAGAAAACGAGGAAGGAGCGGAGGGTGAACCGGAAGAGCCAAAGAAACCGGAAGCAGAGAAAGAAGACGAAGAAGTAAAATCTAAAGATGTAGAAGGAACAGAGAAGGAAGTCAAAGAAGGAGACCGTGACGAAGGAGGAAACAAATCAGAAGAAGAGGCTGTCACCTGCTCAAATAACAACCAAGAAAATTTGGATGGGAAAAAAGAGTCATGCGAGGGAGAAGAAAATATAGATGGAACGCTGAATGTAGCAAACGAAGAGCAACAGTCAGGCAATGGACGGGAGGAGGCAGATGTAAAAGGAAATGACTGTGCGATAACAAACAACAATCAAAACGAAGTTAAAGGTGCACCGCTGTCAAACTTGAAGCAAACATTGCACGAAACAGGAACTGAACAGGAAAGGCATGACAAGGAGAAAGAAATTTCAAGCGGTCAAGAGGAAGGCGGAAAACTTAAGAGTAACGTTGCTACTGAAGATACTCATTTTTGATTCGTGAAAAACGGAAGATATAGCATGACAGGACAATGTCACTGTAGGTAGCGAAATAGGTAACCGTGTCAAACAACGGAGAAGAGTCAACGAACTTCTCACATTTAGGCAATTGATAAACCCAGCGTCATATTCAAGCTAGATGGGATAATTGAGAGAATTGGAGAGGTTATAACAATGCGAGGCGACAGAACATTATTCAGACGGCTCTAAATTTAACACTAATCGTGCCTAGCTCGTAGCTCACGAGCTTATCCTTTTTCAGTCGTTTAAATGACTGAAATGGCAATTATTCTGTTAATTATGAAATTGCCTGCATTTAAAGCCCCAAGAGAGGGTGTTTTTAAACAGTCTAAACCTTTACAAATACTGTGAAACTCAGAACGTCGTGAACAACGGAATGATTGGAGAGTGTTTGAATTACTCTTCTAGGAAAAAGTAAGTAGCGAAAAAACTAATCCGCAAACAGAAATAATTCCCAATTTATGGATTTGAAGTTTTCTCGCGTGTACAGAATTTTAATCGTAATCGAAGCAAATCGGAAGTGTGCACGGTTTTCTGATTTTCACAAGAAGCACTCAACGATACTGTTTACGCTTCACGCAATCGTCGATTGCGTGACAATAATGATTCGTCATGATCAAAGCTCGAGCTTATTTGAGTCGTTGTTGACTCAAATAATCCATGCTGGTACTTAATTATCACGATATGAGAACAGCAGAGCTCAGATAATCTCGATATTGTGGCGTTAAAGCCATACAAATTTTATCGAATTTCACTACAAATTATTTTATGCGACATAAATGGAATATATTCATAAGAGGTTGGCCTACGTTTTGAGTGCCTTGTAGGCGCAAATTTTTTTTTCTGTTAATGTGAAAAAAAATGTACCCGCTTCTTGAGTCTGAAAAAAAGGATGCGAAAAGTTAAACATCTTGGAAAAAGTTCTAGTATAAGGTGAAAACAAATGAGAATTGAGTACTAGTAAAAGTTTGGCATAAAAGTTCGCTTTCCTTGTTGGGTTACAGTTTGCCTATCCCAATAAGCTCACTAGCTAGTAGAGTTCACATTATTCATTTTGTTTTTTTTATCTTTGTTTTCAAAATGACACTGTTCAATTTCACGAGGCAGTGAACATTCATGTTTGTGTTCTCGGTGAAATGTTTGTGCCACCTCTTACAGTTATCGTGTTACGCAGTGTGGAGTTAATGGTCCTTGAGAGTAGAATAACCCACAGCCTTGTTTTGCTTTATGTATTTTGGCCATTTTGTGAAGAAGAATTGATACGAGAGATGCCGCAGTGACTGAGACAAGGAAAGAACTATCAGCGAAAAAAATGTCAACGGTTTGCTTTGGTGACCTTTAAAGAAGAAAAACGGTAGTTTTCCGAGAAATGAAAATATCCTTTGCAGTAATTGTTTCTTAATCGTACTCAAATCAACATGTACATATCCAACTGAATTTATGAACAATGTGGTCAGCAGTCGCCCCCAATTGCGTGGCAAGCGTAGTTGTTCTCACACAAGATTAGACTTTTGATTAGACAAACCGCAACAAAACTACATAATCGTATTTTATATACGCGATTAAAGATGTTTTCTAAAATGTTAACTTAAGTATGTCATCTTTAAAATGGTGCCGTTGTTTAAAATCAATAAAGAAATAAATATTTAGCATCGCAATTTCACCATCGCCCCTTGCACCAAGTTTTCTTCCACTTCATCCCCCATTGTTCCACAATCTACCTTCACTTGTCTATTGTTAGAACTGAATTTAACATCGAAATTGAGCTATTCGCACGTGCGAGAGGGTTTTGATGTAGCGACAATTGTGTTTCTTCGAAGGCTATTTCGACCTAATTCAACCCCTGATCATTCCTCTTTTGCGTGACCACTTTTCAGGTTCACGTGATCAACCTCGTTCCAGGGTTGAAGTTGAGAGACGAAGAGGGATGACCCTTGGAACGAAGTTGTGAACGAGGTTGTCCCGTGATTAGTACCTGACTGGTACTCGTGATACGATACAAGAGAGCTGGTCAATCAGAAATGCGTTCACAATGGTCCACAATGGAGTCATGTGCATGGTAAAAATCACGAGACTACTCCTCTGGCAAAATCTTTAAACCAACGCTTCTTCGTGACAGGATTTTAAGATGGATGTTTCAACTCTGATGCAAAATCTTAAACAAGAATTAACCTGCCCGGTGTGTATTCATCTGTATAAAGAACCCAAACAGTTGCCATGTTTACATATTTTTTGCCTTGAATGTCTGAACGGCTTGGTAAACTCGAATGCTCATCAAGGTCAGATTAAATGTCCTCTTTGCCAGATTGGAGTCGCTGTACCCGATTGTGGTACAATGGAAACTTTGCCAGACTGTTTTTACTTGAAAAATCTGCTAGATCTTTTGGCCATCAAAGGATGCAACACATCAGAGGTGACTTGTGGAAATTGCGACAGGAAAAGCGACGAAGCGTCTTATTGTTTTCATTGTAGCAAGTTTTGGTGCGAAGGCTGTTTAAGTGGTCATGACATTTTGAAGGAAAACAAAGAGCACCGTGTTATCGCATTAAGAGATTTTAAAAAAGAAGATTTCTAGGATATTGTAAGACGACCAGAGTTTTGCCAAGAAGATCTTCACGAAAGAAAAGTTCTCGATTTTTATTGTAAAATGTGTCAAGTACCTGTCTGCCAGAATTGCGTAACTCTACAGCATAGCACACACGACGTGGAACATTTGGAACCAACCGTACAGGCGCTGAAGAGCGATATTGATTGTAAACTCGACTCTGTGAAGAAATCGTGTCAAAGATTTTCAGATTATATACGAGAACTAAATGAAAAGTGTAGTCTTACTGATCGGCGGCGCCAAATTGTCAAAGAAAAAATCCAGGAAACCTTCAAGTCTTTAATCGTTACTCTACAGGAACAAGAACGTGATCTGGTGACCCAAGTGGAAAAACAAAGCAACGAAACACAAGAAGAACTTATGAAACACAAACGTGAATTTCAAGAAAAATTGAGCAAGAGCGAGGAAGCGATCTCGTATATAGAACGCTTCGTTGAACGAACCACAGGAGCAGAACTTGTCACCACAAAAACAGTCATAGATGAGCTTTTCCAGCAACTCGGAGAGCCACAAGAGATGCCGCTCCCAGCCATTGAAAAGAAGAGTTTAACCGTCTTCTTGAAAAACCACGAAGTCCTTAAGGGACTTCAGACGTCGGGAATTGGTCACCTACATACCACTACCACTGAAACAGACGTAAAGCAGTGTTTGGTCGGTGGCTATGACGTAGTTACCGCGGGACTGGAGACAAAGTTCGAAGCGATCACAAGAAATTCTGCCGGGGAACAGCTCTATTCCTCTGCTGATGACATTGTTGTTGAAATTGTAGACTCACAACATGGAGAACCGGTAGCTGAATTGAACGTCGTTGACCAGATTGATGGAAGGTACGAAATTTCATTCATTCCAAGTAGAGCCAAACAGCATGTGGTAACTGTGGAAATCAACGGAGAAACTGTGAGAGATCTTCTTCCCATTCACGTCAGAGAACGCACTTTTAAGCCTATCGTACATTTTGGAGAACTAAGTATTGATGAAAAGAAGTTGAGCTCCCCCTGGGGAGTGACTGTAAGTAACTCGAATGACATATTTGTTTCTGACATGGACAATAATCGAATACTGGTGTTTAATGACGAAGGGAACTTTGTCTGGAAGTTTGGAGAAAAATTTCTCGAAGAACCAACAGGGATAAGCGTAGATGATAATGGCAGGATTTTTGTCGCAAACAGAGCGAGTAACAATATATTGATTTTTGCTCCAGACGGGGAATATGTCTCAACCGTCAACATTGAGGGCTTACTGAAAAATCCCCGAGGGATATGCTTTGATTCCCAAGGTAACCTCATTGTCTGTGATTCGGGGAATAAGTGTGTCAGAATCGTTTCCGTTCAAGGAAAAGTTTTAAAAACTGTAGGAGAGGGTTGTTTTCGGATGCCTTTCGACTGTGTGTACTATGAGGATAAAATCTTTGTGTCTGATCGTGAAGGCCACAAGGTCAAGATTTACAACAAAGATGGACAACTTTCGCATGAGTTTGGTGGGCGTGGGACTAGAGACGGGGAACTGTACCACCCAACTGGACTAGCAGTGGACAAAACAGGACACCTCTTAGTCTCTTCAGAGCATAGTCACAAGGTACAGCTGTTCACTTTCACGGGCAGATTTGTGTCAAAATTTGGTTCCTCTGGAAAAGAATTAGGACAACTTGGTCGGCCCACTTCTATATCTCTACTCAAAAGCGGTCATATCGTTGTTTGCGAGTACGGAAATGATCGCTTGCAAATTTTTGCGTAACATTCAAAGCAAAAGTTTCAGGAACAAATTTCATATACCTATAAACATTTTTCTTATTTATAAACGAGACAGGCATGATCGTCTTTTTTTGTTGTTGTAATATTTAAAATTTTATGTTGTAGGGAATTATTCAATCTAAATCAGGAGATTACGTACGCTATGCGTTTTACTATGACAACGAGGTGCATTTGATGTAAAATAATATAAATAATAATAAATAATATACATTAATTGAGGCTCCCCCTTGGGGGCTTTTCAGCCACAATGTAGACTAACTAAAGGGTTTAAAAATCCACGCTGTAAGCTGTTTCCTTTTCAATCAAAATTGTTTGGTCGTGCGTAGTAGGCGAAATCTGGAGTGAAACGCGCGATTCTCGCTCATGGGTGCAGCTCTCACATGCGTCCTGTCAAGCGAGCGCCCGCAAACCATCACCTGTAATTAACGTAACGATCAACCGTTAAATGTCCTATACCTCCGTCATAAAGGTCCCAGTTCCTAGTCAGTCAGAAAATGAATTTAGCCATAAGTTATAAGAAACAAGATGAGCTAATTTACCACGGTCTCTCTCAGTCCCACGAGCCATCATCAGTTTGGGCATTTGCTCAGAGAAATTAATTATACTTTGAGGTGAATTTGAAAAAGTGGTTTAGATATCAAGTTCTATAGCACTTTTCAAATGTGGAGGTGAAATATATACGGATTGAATTATACTGATATTGTCATTCGCGTGACAACTGTTTGGTTTCCACGACAACTGGCTTCTACTCCATGGTAGAGCGTCAGGATCCCATTTTCCCGAGAGAGTTTTGTAACGCAACCCCTGAGCAGTGGCGGATCCAGGGGGAGGGTCCGGGGGGTCCAGACCCCCTCCATCAGACCTGACGCTTACAACTTTGAGACTGAAATTCTTACATCCGCAGGATCGTATATCACTTTTTAACTGGCTGATTTTTTGAATTAATGAATCCAAGTAAACGGTAAACGGCCAAGGAATTATAACGTGCAACCGTGACTGCTGGGAGGGGGCGTGGGGGGTGTGGGGGAGAAGTAATTTGCCTCAAAAGAGTCCGATGAGTCCTTTCTGAACCAAAGTTTGGACCCCCCCTATCAAAAATTCCTGGATCCGCCCCTGCCTGAGGGTTTCTCCTTAGATTAAAGCAACAAAGATCCACCAAGAACCACTCAAGAGTGACATGAATTCTAGTAATTTTGTTAAAATTCTCAGAAAACGAAGAAGCTCAATCAACCTTTAAGTTCGCGTGACTAATAACTTTTACGCATTATTGGTAGAGCAAAAACAGCCAATCAAAAGCAAGATGGGCTAATAAGTTTTCGTTTCTAGGAAATCATGGCAACAATAGCCGCCCCCATCCTCGGAGACCCAGGGGCTGTGAGTCGATTTCAAATGTTGAAATCGACTCACTGCCCCTGGGTCTCCAAGGATGAGCCGTTCCCTGTAGTTCTAAGAACTAGTTGCTTAATAATCATACTTTTGTGCAACCTGAACATTTCTCTTCACCCTAGTCGTTTGAAAATGGATGTTCCAACTCTGATGCACAACCTAAGGGAAGAAGTAACCTGTTCTGTATGTATTCACTTGTTTAAAGAACCCAAACAACTGCCATGTTTGCACATTTTCTGCCTTGAATGTCTGAACGGCTTGGCAAGGACAAACGCTCGCCAAGGCAAGATTAAATGTCCTCTCTGCCAGATTGAGGTCGCCGTGCCCGATAATGGCTTAATGGAAACTCTGCCAGACTGTTTCTACTTGAAAAATCTGCTGGACATTCTGGCCATCAAAGAATGCAACACATCGAAAGTGACATGTGGAAACTGCGATAAGAAAAGCGATGAAGCATCTTATTGCTTTCATTGTAGCAAGTTCTGGTGCAAGGAATGTTTGATCGCACATAACATTTTAAAGGAATACAAAGAGCATCGTGTGTTATCCCTCAAAGATTTTCAAAAAGAGGACTTTGAAGATGTCATTAGACGACCAGCATTTTGCCCCAAAGATTTCCACGAGAGAAAAGTGCTGAAGTTTTATTGTAAAGTTTGCCAAGTTCCCGTCTGCAAAAATTGTTTGGCTTTGGAACACTGCAAACATGATGTGGAGCCACTGGAAAAAGTTTTTACTTATGTTAAGAACAGTATCGCGTCTAAGCTTGAAGATACTAAGAAATTATCCGATACAATTGCAAAACATGTTCGTGAACGCGAGGAAGAGGGTCTTCTACTTGAAAATCGTTCCCAAACTATAAAACTACAGATACAACAAACGGTCAAAAATATTGTTCAGACTCTGCAAGAACAAGAGCGAGGATTAGTTACTGACGTAGAAAATCAAACTAAGGAAGCACAAGAAAAACTTATGAAAGAAAAAGAAGAACTTCGAGATCACCTGTCGAGGACCGAAGATATCGTTTCACAAGTAACTCGCCTTCTCAAACGGAGCACTGGAGCAGAAATTGTCAGGACAAAAACATCGGTGGATGAAATATTTCAAGGGCTCAATGATCCACCCGAGATTCCACTATCCAGAAATATAAAAATTCTTCAGACTGTATTCTTGAAAAACCAAGAAATCCTCGACAGACTAAAAGAAGAGAAACTTGGTCGCCTGTTTGAAACTGGAACTGCTGTAGACCAATCTTCACTACAATTATGTGAAGAAGCTACAGCGGGGTTAGAATCAAAGTTTAAAGTTATCACGCGGAACTCACTGAAAGAACAGTACTATTGTCCAGGGGACTATATTACTGCAGAAATCAATTCAGCTCAGAGCAGAAAAACTGCCGCAGATGTGAGAATCATTGACGAAAATGATGGCAGCTACGCAATTTCCTTTATTCCAAGTGAAGCTGGACAGCATCTAGTGACTGTTACAGTAAACGGTGAAAAGCTGAAGGAGTTTCCACCAATTGACGTAAGAGAAAGAACCTTCAAGCACATCGGATTTATGGTACTAAAACATGATGTTCAGCCTTGGGGAGTGACTGTTAACAATTTAGACGAGATTTTTGTCACTGATATAAAGAATAACCGAATTCTGGTCCTTGACAAAGATGGACAGTTCATCAGGTCCTTTGGGCAAAATCAGGTTAATAGTCCCACAGGGGTATGGATAGACAATGAAGGTAGGAGTTATGTGGCTAACAGAGGCAGTAACAAAATATCACTCTTTCACCAAAATGGTGAGTTAATTTCAGCTGTACCTATAGACGGGTCACTAAGAAATCCTCGGGGAATATGCTTTGATCCAATGGGCAATCTTGTTGTTTGTGATGCTGGGAATAAGTGTGTCAAGATTTTTTCTCCTGACAGTAACATTCTTAGGACAGTAGGAAAGTGCTGGTTACAAATGCCATTTGACTGCCTGTGTTATGATTTTAGAATCTTTGTATCCGATCGAGATGCTCATCTCGTTAAAGTTTACAATGAAAAGGGGCAGTTTTTATACGAATTCGGCAGATTTGGTACAGGGGCTGGAGAACTTAATCACCCAACTGGACTGGCAGTGGACAAAACAGGTCACCTTTTAGTCTGTTGTGAAAATCACGATGCCGTGCAAATATTTACGCTGAATGGACAATTTGTTGGCAAGTTTGCTGGAGATGAATCGGACCTAAGACAAATTAAACGGCGTACTTCATTGACAGTATTGAAAAGTGGTCGCATAATTGTTTGTGAGTTTGACAACTATCGCTTGCAAATTTTGGCGTAACCCAAAATATGTTCGAAAAAATCGTGTTAAATCCTCAGACCACAGGAAAGTTCAATTTTCTAACTATCAGTTAAATTTTCCTTGTTTATGATTCAGAGTTTTTTTAAATCACAAATAGAATTTCCGAACAATCACATGTATTTAGTGTAACACTGTAAAAGCATCAAGTAACTGTAGACATGGCATCTAATCTTGTTTTAAAATCATGAGTTAGGGAATGGTTGTAAGATTGATTACAACATCGACAGATCTACTTGTACCCTTATATGTGATTTAAATTTGTGGAACATTAAAGAACCCACACACTCCTCGAAAAGAGTAGGGCACGTAGTGCCCAGTGTTGTGGTCTATCTTTGTGCAGTGTCTATCCAGGGTGAATTGGGGGGAGGGGTGGTGCCTCGCATGGACCTTGTGTTCCGTTCGCACTAACCCTTCCCGGTCTAGTCACACCCGGTAAAGTTGTTAAAAAAAAATAATAATACAGCGAAAGAGGTCCTTTTGATAAGCTAATACTGTTGAAGATGAAGCACGTAAAAATGTTTTAGATTACCACAGATTCAAATGTAAGCGGTCGGAAAATCATCTTGAACTTGAGTTGGTGCATGTCCTCCACTTGTTTTACTATTTTTGTGATATTTCGTTCTTTTTTTTCGCCTTTAAAAGCTGGTACTGGTATTTTGTTTTGTTTTTCTTTTGCGACCCAAGGTCATTTTAGCCATTAGGTCAGGGTTAAAATGAGCTCCAAGAGAGGTCCAAAACATTTCCGTGCCCAAGTACATAAGTTTTATTATAACATCACTTTGGATAGCACTTAAAAAATTAAAACAAAAAAAATGACAGTAATCATGTAGACGCTCAAGCATGCAGGCTGGAATACATTCTTCTGGCCACCGAAATCTCTATTTTAGCCCGCAAAATGCACTACTAAATAGTGAAAATAACACACCTTTATTCCCTTCAGAGACTGTATTATTAATCTTTGTTTGCTTCTTTGCACATGCATTGGTGCGAGTGTAATAAATTTTATAAACTTTGGCTGAAAGTACAGAGTATCTTTCCCCCAGGTGTAGACAAATCCTGAACCCCCCTCTTCTGGAACCCTTTCTAACTCCCCTCCGCACTGGACCCTCCACAGGATGACCAATCAGAGAAAAATTAGATATTGCAATTAAAGGTCCGGTAATTCGGGCAACTTTTTTCTTCAACTTGTCTTTTAATATCATTGCATTGCAAGTTGAAACACGTTGTGCGTATTACCACATTCGTGACCAACTTGTCTCGCAACAAAATAATTAGTATGGAAAATTTGCGGAATCCTGCGCGTATTATTGGTCAGTCGTGTGTAAACAAAGATGACGGCTGCTGAACTCTTTCTTTTTCGGAAGCAAGCGCTTGCAGCTCTCTGTTTGGGCCTTTAGCTCGGTGAAGACAAGGAAAGGCTCGAAACAAAATCAGAAAATTTACATGTGACAATGGATTTCCTGGAGAGAGGACAGGCGTTTTTCACCTGCTAATTAGAGAGCTTGAAGTGGGGGATTACGTAGCGTTCAAAGAGTTTTTCCGTATGACGAAAGAGCAATTTTCCTTTCTGTATAGGGAAAATTTTTGGCTCGGAAAGTTTCTGGTCTATTTCAACAGCCTCAAGCTCGTCTCCGTCCGCCATGTTTGTTTTAAATTTGCCACGTCGCCACGCTTTACGACAGCCAATCACAAGCGTCACCTTACAATTGCACAAGTAAGACTCAACTGTTGGCCTTTGCCCTGGAGAGAAAGTTTCTTCCAATCTTCTTCAGTAAGAAGGGGTAAGGACTTTGACTATTAGTTACAAAGCTAAGACAACAATAAAGTGATGTAAACAATTGGTTTTATTTTGTAATACCCACCTATGGAGCCCCCTAAATTCAATTTCCATTGTAATGAAATGGCAAGAAAAAATGAAAAAAATTTGTATTGTTTTTAATTTGTTACTATTAATTAACTTAAAATAAACTCCTTTCTTGACAATGTATGAAACTTTTCCTGTATAAACCTCTTCCTCAGAACAGAGAACATAGATGATTCATTTACTGTGTCAGTTTCCTAATATATTACCCCCCAAATTTTCCTTCCTCTTTAAAAATACATCAAAACCCTTCCTCAGAAAGAGTTGTTATCCTAAGAATAAACACAGATTGGTTGTTTGTTGGTTTGCTTGTTTGTAAATATGCATGTGTGTTTACTCAGCTTGGAAAATTTGGCAGAAAATAATTTTTTTTTTGGATAAACTATCTCGCGCTTTTCAATGTAACGCACTCTTTAGTTGATTTAATGTCATAAGACCCAAACCTTGGTGTTGACCATGGTCAAAGTAATTAAAAGTAAAGCATGCAAACTGCCTCAAATGCAGGCTGAAGGGAAGTAACCTGTTTTCATTTTGTATCAGAGTGGGTGAGAAGGAGGTATTAGTCTCTAGACCAATCACATATCCTGGATTGCCTTCCCTAACATGGTGTGTCACAATTTTCAAAGCTTTACTCCATAGTGCAAACTGAAAACTGCTCAGGTCTTTTGGAGCAATTTAGAGTTAATTTGTTTTTTAATTAAAAGAATGTTGTAACCACATAAAAATCACTGTTCTAAATTAATTGATTGAATGCATCAACATACTGGTGATTGGTTGATTGCTTTCCTTCTTTATGAATGGCCAAACACAACCACTTTACTCTACTTTCAAATTCTGAAGTACTGAGTGTGGGAGGTTTTGTACAACAAATATACTTTCACATCACTTTAGGGCATATTCTCTCAAGGTATTCAACTTGTCTGTTGTCCAAGTGTGCAAGAAATCTATCTACCCTGGACTGCTTGGACTCTCTATAAGCTTCTAGTCTCTGTTGAATATAAGGCTTGATAATTAGGTCTTGAACATTATGTATGTTAGTGTGAGGCCTGTGGTAACCATTTGTTGCTGGTGTTTCTTCAGTTGTGGTACCATTCTGTTCACATGCTATTCTTGTGTTTGGCCCTTGACTGTTGCCATTGGAGACTGAAACAGGTTCTTCTGCCATTTCATCCAACACACATTGTAGCTCCCAGTCCAACTCGGCTTGTGATTGCTTTGTCTTACAGCTCTCAGAAGCTTCCTGCAAGTGTTTGCCCATAGTCACTTCATTTTATGCAGGAATAAGATATTTTTATGTAAAGAAACACAATCTAAACCAGAGTGTTGCATTACATCATATAAGGTGAGAGGTAATCCAAAAGTATTAATACCGGCCTATGTGAAACTATAGCAAAAACCAGGATCACTTGGAAGTTTTATTTAGAATGTGATTGTGTTGAGGAAACAAAATATGATTGATTACAGAAGTCTCCTTCACCTTAAATGCTTTATAATTCCATTGGAATGAGAGAATGGCTCCATAAAAATCCCACACTGAAAACTCAGGCCATAAAACTTTGAGAAATGACAACGAGGAATATGAACACTGAAACAAAATTAGTGAAATTCACAACATTACTTTCCACTGTTCAACAGGATTTATCCATTTTTTTAAAAATTGATGATCAGGGGAAGAACTGAGTGAGAACTTTAAAATTGAAAGATTACTGTTTATCATGACTTTTCATTCTTAGTCTTGCAAAGTAGTCATTTCCAAGTCGGACTGAGACATCTCAAATGCATGCTGTGAGTCTCCATCAACTGATGAAGTTGAATTGTTTAACATCTTATCAAAGATGGGGCTGTGATTGGTTAGTTCTCATCCACCAAGATGGGTGGATTTGATTAGGTAAGACTGACATGTACCATTCAGAGATGGTGAAAAATGTGCAAAAAAAGCAGAGCAAGTAGGTAGTTATATCAAGAGATATGTCATGTACATGTACAAGTTTACACATAGTCTTACAAATATTTCAAAGTTAAAGACCCAGAAACCCTTGTTGTTTCCTGCCTTTTGTTCTTGAAACATCAAACCTCTTTTTCTCTCACCTGCCATAATAAGAAATCACTAAACCGCACCTCTCCTGATGTCCTTATCAACATATCAGGGTGTGGAGAGGGTGATGTGTAAAGACATTTCTCCAGTAAAGACTCACTAATGTCACTGTTAAGAAAAGAAGCAGTTGAAGTCAGAACATGTAATGAACTGCTGTACAATGTACTTTAAACATTTAAGGAAAAAATAGAACTATATACACTAGTCCTGTAGCTCTGATTAAATTAATTTTCCTAGATTACAGCAGCTTTGTCCTTTTGAAAACACAAGATGCTAGAAATATTATTTATGATGGCAGAAAAAAAATGTATGATGGTAAATGACTTGGCATACATGCAACAGTCAGAAGCTACTCTACAAATGCTACTGTCTAAAGTTTTAAAACAACTCTCTTTCACTGCTCTTTCCCAACCTTTAACCTCAACCCCTTGCTTTGTCTCACAGTGCTTTGCTATTTGTAAGGCACTGCTATAAGTAACAATTATTTTTCTTGTTGTTTTGTTCTTTTATTTAAGTGGAGTTTATTCAATGTTGGAAATAACTGGTACCCCTATAGGATGAATCCTACCTTGCTTTTATTAAGCCAAGTTCAACACCTTCAGCCATTAATTTTACTGCATTTGAAATTTCATGTCTTGATGTATATGCTAAGCACACATTCAAAGTTGCTCTAGAGGAAGTAAACACAAACGAAGTTAGGAAACTTATACTGTTCAAGTCAGTTTGGTTTCTACCTGAAGGTATAAATTTAACAATTTGTTGTTAAAAAAAAAAAACATCTTAAGAGGAAACTAATTATTTTCATCTTTTTTAGATGATTTTCTGTAGGAATGGCAAGCTAAGGATGATCCACAGGTTTTCAAATGAACTGTAACATATCTTCAGATAAAACAAGACTTCATTACAAATATGCAAGAACCTATATAAGTAGTATTGACACTCTACCTGGATGGATTGACAACACCAAATTGCACTTTCATCAGTTTCCCCCAGGGACTCCCTAGCTTCATCAACAATGTCAAAACCAGGGGTTTCATGAACGTTTTCAGCAGGAGGGTAACTGGTTTTCATAGGCGGGCAAAACCTTCTTGAAATGAACTTCGTTATGAGATAAACTTTCTCCAGATTGTCAAACCAGGTGGGCAAAACCGTCCTCGCGACCGGTCAATTTGCCCGCTGCCCGGCCCTTAATGAAACCCCTGCAAAACTTTTCTAGGGAACATGGCCCTTGACTGTCACAAAAATTCCCATGAAGCCTATGTACATGCTTTATATTAACCCCCCCTCAAAAAAAAAAATACCCCACTGTTAAATTATCAATCTACTCTCTGTGTTCTCATTACAATTCAGCTCTACTCATTTATACAGTATGTGTACATGACTGTACTCCTGTGTCGATAGAGAAGACACAAACTCTGACTTTTCAAATCAGTCTGCAGTTATAATACACTGCAGCTTTGGGGCCAACATATCACAGGCATGACCATCTAATGAAATGCTGGCTGGAATGTACAGTGCAATGTAGCTTGCGATAAATTGGGTTCTGGATCAGGGACTGGATGAAATTATCCTTAAATATAATTTCTTCCACAACAGAATCTGAAGTAGAGTTACTTGAAAGGGTCACTTAGCAGGACTCAAGAATTAACTTCACCATGTCCATCATAGATGTGATAAAGGTTTATAAACATAGATCCAGCTTACTTGATGTTATTTTTGGAGAATTTCACAACTCTTGCCACTGATCTTTGTAAATCTTCTGGTAACATGGTGAGATCACCAAGCGCTCGCACACAAACTCCATGCTTCATAATCATTTCTCTTCAATAAAAAAGATGTTAAAAAATTATCTCAAAATAAATACATTTTATTTAAAACAATAGCATGGCCTCATATTTTATGGGTCCAGGTATTTTTACACCTCTCACAGTAATGAGGAACAGGTATGAGAGATTGCTCTTTCCAAGGACAATTTTCAGGCCAAGAAAGAATGACTGAGTAATCAGGACAAAATCTTGCTAACACAATAGGTGAAATGGTAGGTCGTCAATTTCTTCACTTTCTCAGCCTCCTCCATTGGAGTGATGGGGTGAAATACAAGTAGAGTTATTTTATTCTGAACTGTGTTTAAGAGTTCTTTTTTTTGCCTTTTTATAACTGGAATACGAGGTGATAACCGAATTGAATGGAGATTTTTAATCTGATGCAATCTTCTTCTACCTCTTCTTCATGATACATTTTACTGTTTGCTGTAATAAGGTATCAAATAAAGATTATTTAAAGCTGAACATTTTTTAATTAACTTTCATTTCGACTCATTGTTTTCAATTTATATATATAAAAAAAAAAAATCACAGCCATGGTAGAAACAAGACAAAAATGCTCTTGTTTTCTGATAGGATCCCCAGAATACACGCTAGTTGCTCATGTGTCTCCTGTGGGCATAAAGGGTAAATTAGAAAGGAAGAAAGAAAGAAAGTCTTAAGCACTCTAAACAACAAACGTGTCTAGTTACAATGATAAGGTTGAGATCGGACGTCAGCATTATCAGGCGCCTCTGGCAGCCACTTCAGTCCATGTAACGATCTCACCTTCCCTCCCATCCCACTCCAGGGGAGGACATCCACCACACAGTAATCTCGTGCGTGGGAAATTAACATCTCCTACCCCTAACCCTGCAGGAGACGGGGCCTATGGTTTATTCGTCCTTATCCGAGAAGACTAGAATATCTATCCATTTTTTGAGATTATAGAAAGGTAGCAAATTCTCCTCACTTATTTTAAGACCATGGGTATTGGTCCGGCCGGGGCTCGAACCCTCGACTTCCCACACAACACAATCTGGCGCTCTAACCAATTGAACTAACCTGGAGGCAGTCTCATTTTACATTCCCCAAGTTATCAATTATCACAGGGCTGAACACTAACTTTTCAACTTGCAAACCAAGTGGCTAGTAACAGCTTAGATGCTGCAACAACTTCAGTTTGTTTACCAGCCAAACTGGCTAGTGGAAATCGAAAATCACTAGCCAAAACTGAATTTCTACTAGTCTGTGGCTTGTTGGCTACCATTAGCGTCAAGCCCTGTACCAATTGAAAGCAAATTGCCTTAAGTGTAGTAGTCCACCCCATACAATTTTAATTTTTATGGATGAAAAAATCCAGCAAGTTTACAAATTCCTTTGGCCCAGCTCTAAGCTGACTCATCAATGCAAAAAATATTTGCCGGTACTTGATTTTCTCTTTCATAGAAAAAAATTAACTTACTTTATATGTAATATATCTGGAATAATTTAATAAACCATACAGGGGGACTGAGATTCTTCTTGTGTGTGAGAAAGTCCTGAATTAAAGCAGAGAGCTGGCATATAATTGGATTATGGAGAGAGAGCATGTAATTCATTCTAAAAATGGAATTTAGTTATACGATTCATTCATAATGAATGCCCTTACTTCTCCTCCATCAATCTATCAAATTTTTGCCTGGCAAGCTCCATAAGTCCATCAACTTCCTCTTGTGATCGTTTGAAGTTCTCAATACTAAATGCATAAACTGTAACTTCTGGTATTCCAAGATCAAAACACCATTCCAACACCTAGAAAAACAAACAAACAAACAAACAACTTTATTAGACCTTTAAACTTCATAAGTTGTACTTACATCTACTTAATTATTATTAATTAATTGATGTCTACTTAATTATTATTATTGATATAATTATTATTAATCTAATCTACACGTTTTACAAGATATCAACATTAATCGGTTGTCAAGCAAACTTTCATGTTCGTGAAGACCGTTCACACCCGTAAATAGCAGGAGGAGCTAGTCGGGGCGGGCGGGAATTAGAGGTACAGCAGTGGTAATAGATTGCAAATAAAGCTTAAACATAATTTAGAATGAGTGAGATGTGACAATTGAGAATAGCACAGTGAAATTCACTTCATGCTATGATAAATGCACACCAAAATGCATACCAAATGACATTATAGCAGTGTTTCGCAGGGATTTCTAGCTCTAAGAAAAGCCGTAATTGCACACACGTAAAGTTGCGATAACTTTCTTTTGTATCTGATATCACTGATGATGGGTCACCCCTTTTTCACTCAATACAATATTTTATTTGTTATTTGACAATAAATCCTTATACCCCTGGCTCCACAGAGCTCTGCCAAGTTGATGAATTTTATAAAGTCAATTTTTCTTGTCAACAAAGGTCTATGGTGTTTATATACCAGTAATAAATGAAATTATACATGGATACTTGCAGACATGAGAATTTCTCTTCTCACGTTCAATTCAAAGCCCACTTACCATGATCATTGGTTATTTTGGTCAGGATCTTTTGACCAAAATGTTAAAAAAAGAGAGGGCATCACTGCACTATTTACCGATCTCCCTTGAATAAAACAAGGGAAAGGAAGAGGTCATCCAAGGCTTCATCGTTACAGTCCTAGGGTGACATGTTGGAACTGTCTCCTTATGATCTTTAATAAACTATTGCGCACAGTCAACGAGAACTGAGAAAATGATCAAATTGGAGGGACATTGCTTAGATATAACTTCAAATTCCTAAGAACAGCCAAAACAAGAGAGTTGAAAGGATCAACTTTCAAATCCTGAGAGTCAAAGAACTGAGAAATATCTTGCAAAAAGGATGTCAGATGACTAAGTATCAGGTTACATGTATGTATGCGTATGTCAAAATTCCCCACAAAATATCAAAAAAGGCTAGTCAACACAATAGCAGAATTTAGAGAAATCATATTGTTAAAAAAAAAATCCCATCGATAAAATCATCGCCTTAATTCTAAATTTTGCTTTCATTTCGATATATCTTCAATTCAACTGTACTTTGTACATCGGGTGTGCGATGAAAAATTCGTGCAGGCAGAGGCTGGACTATATAATATTTTTTGATTTTTTTTTGGCTTGAAATCAATGGCAGTTATTCCGTAAAAAGACGTTTGAACGTAGCTTAAAGCTATGCTAAAATTGTGACTGCAGACAGAAGCTTGTTAAGTAAATCACAGCTACGTATCTTACCTCAGTAAACTTCTCAAAGCCTTTCTCGTGTCCCTTTGACCGTTCGCACTTCACCTTCTTCGCAAACCTTCTGTTCCCGTCCATAATGATCGCGACGTGTTTAGGAATCTGTCCGGCTTTGATGACATTATTACAGAACGTTCTAATGAAAGAGGTCTTCCTCTCTTCCTTAAACCACGACATAACACAAGTTTAGTATTCTATTCACCACAGAGGCATCCCGGCGGCTGGTCACGATTAATGAATTTTGTAGAGTTTGAGCATGCGCACTGCGTCCTTCATGATTATGCATGATGTCATGACAAAAAGAAAGTCGAATGCTGTTTGCCGCCATGTCACGCTTTAACCGTTGATGGCGAAAAGAATGAACGTTTTCTCCACTTGAGATGACGGTAGGATTACTCTGGCAAGAAGAACATTCTGTTCATACAAGCCTTAACCCAGAATGGTGAACGCCGAGGACGAGGATATTCAAAGAGGTTCGTTTCGTTCGGTCATATTTTGTTTCCTCTACCTGTAACCTTATAGTTCTTTTTCTTGTCCGAAATCCTACAGAACTTTATTTCCTGATCGCGAAGTTCCTCTCCAAGGGCCCCTGTGTGCGTGCTGGATTGGTAAGTTCACCTTGCATGTGTTTATTCCGTTTAAATTTCGAACTAACGCGTTCCGCTTCTCACACAGGCATTGAAAGAGGAATTGGTCGAACATCGGGTAAGTACCCCTTTTCTCTAAAACCCGTTGGACATAGGTGCTGTTACACCTCTACGATAACATTATATATTTTACAGCAAAGTATGCTCTTCAGATGAACAGTTCTGACCCCAGCGAGGTAAGCAGACAATAGATTTTAATTCATGCCATGTTGATAGTTGATCCTTACCTGTATGTTCTCTCTTAGCTTTTGCGTCGTCGTGTGGATTGGAGGGGCGAAGAACATGACCAAACCTACGAGGAAACGGTACTCTTTTACCCCCATTTACAGATCTTTTCAACTGAGCGATTTAGAGCTTTTTCTCGACTTGCGGCCTTTGAATTTTATTAGGGATTTTTAAGCGGGGAACAAAAATTTATTTTCCTGGCTTTGTGTGGGCGAAGCCCGACAAAAATTGGAGAAATTCATTTTCCGAGCGTATTTTCGACTGGCAAGCAGATTGTGTTTTTTGCTGCGTTCATTATGAAATTTAGTCTGTGTTTGACACCCAACAACTTATGCATACCAAGCCTTTGTCTATTCATATGGTAATCGGATATTTATGGTGTTTGTCACGAGCGAGCCAATCAGATCACAGAGCGTTGCGTGTCGGCTCAGTTTCCCATTGTATTGCAAATGGGAGATTGAAATTCCAGCTGTCACCACGACGTCAGAATAATATAAATGGAATTTCATTTCCGTCGCTTTGTGGCTGTTGATGCAATATCTCGCTCGTCACGTTGCTTGTGAAGACAGATTCGCTTATGCTCGTTCATGCAGTGTGCATTTCATTTCAATTTCAAAGTTACCGTCCTTATCGGACGAAAAAAAAAAAAAACGTAGTAAAGTTTCCCTGAACAATTTTATTTCGCTTTCCTCTATGCAAAAACAACACATTTTGCTTTCTTGTCGTGTAAAGAAGGCCTGGTTACTACCTCGCACGTACGCCATATTCTGTACGATATATATTTTGTGGTCTTGTGGTTTTGAAAGTATATTTTTTTCCTGCGGCTTGAAATGTGTAGAAAATTTAGGGGAATCTATAAGGCATTAAAGGATCTGCCACCCCAACCTTTTACTTTCAATAGGTCACCGAAAATAACCATATACCAGATGATTTCTTACTGCGAATAGCTAAACGACTTGGACCTTTGGTCGAGCAATGTGTTCCGGGGAGTGTAGAGGGCTATCGTTCTTTACTTGGAGCCGGAAGGCAGAATTTGTTGCGGACATCCTCAGGTACTACGATGCGTATTTTGACTGCATGCAGCTGGATCGTTAACTTGTTAATGTATGCCCTTCTTTGAAATGCCGATCGAATATAATTATGCACGTGGAACATGTTGGAAGTGACCCCTTATATATTGAACCAGACTTGCAACCATAATCTAGGGCTAAAACAGTATTTTTATTAGTTTAAATGAACGATCTTAACAACAAACATTTTTGTGCAACCTTTTGCATGCTCATGATTATTTTCGTTTCATTGTTTGGGTTACTGATAAAATTCATGAAGCTTCATAAACACATACGCGTACAGCGGTAAATACTGAGTTCCAAGGACGGTATACACTGTATATGCTATGACAGTATCAGCTTAAATTTTTAAGAAAAAAAATTGTGAAGTTTCTTTTGATGGACAGGACCATTTCCTTGAGAGCATCACCCTAACTTGATCCAACCAACCTCAGACTCTCATTCCCTAACACTTCCTCTGTCAATACAACTTGAAATTTATCAATAAGAGTGAATCTACCAGACAAGGATAAGATAAAGTTAGTAAAAAATCTCTTCTAGGAAAAAAAGCACCATCAATTCCCAAAGTCTTTTAGTGCATTTATGACCTGCATTTCGTATAATTTTTTTTTTCTTTTTTACCAGAAACGAGCAAACCAAGTGTAAGTTCATTAGCTGTTTGCCATCATGGAGCACCATTATTGCCACCAGTAAAAAGAAAGATTCCAGGAAATATTGGTAGGATGTTTTACATATATAACTTTTCATGTGTATCTGATTTATAGCAGTAACAATGTGCTGTAGAAGAGGCTCCTTCAAATCAAGTGGAATGGCAACTGCTAAGAAAATGGTCTGTTAGTTGGTTCACTTTAGGCCCTTGGAGGGAGTTTAACCTATTTTTGTATTTTGCCTTAACGGACACATAATATATCTTGCCTTCATGTTCAGGGCTCGACACTAACTTTGCAAATTACTAGCCAAATGACTAGAGACAACTTAGATGTTACAACAATTTCAGTTTGTTTACTAGCCAAACAGGTTAGTAGAAATAAAAAACCACCAGCCAAAACTGAATTTCTACTAGTCTGTGGCTACCATTAGTGTCAAGCCCTGATGTTTCTGAGTTATCTGTCCGAGTTTTTCTATGTTGTTATCATTACTCTACTGCCTTCTTTCAGAAGACCCCTGAAGTTAGCCATTTAGTCAGAAATGATACCCACACTATTTCTTTTCATGGTTTCTCAGGTCATGTGTTATGCAGCAGAGAGATTAGTGGAACATCCAGTATCAGAAATGTGGCACAACCAAATCTTTACACAAAAATATCTATGGTATGGGATTTTACTCCAGAAAACCACAAAAGAATACTAAGACTCCATGTTAGTAATATCTGTTCATGAATTTTTTTTGTCCTATAGCATCGCAGAATTCTCGGTCATCTTTCTGCTGTATATTGTGTGCTCTTTGACAGAAGTGGTGAATGCATTGTTACGGTAAGTTATTTTTCAAATAGGTTTAACGTATACATACTTTGTTGGAAACAAACTAAAGATTGAATATAAGCAATGTTGTCGCATTCCCGATGCTGCAGACACATGGTGTTGTGCACCAGAGTTCGCCAGTATAACCACAGTGTTAAACTTTAGACAAGTAGCAGTATCAAACTCTTTATTCACTTAAGCTGGCTGTCTTTGTACAGCACAGGCGGTAAAAACTATAGAACGGATACGTGAAGGTTCAATATAAGGAAAACCAAAAGGCTACGAATAAACGAATAGGGCGAAACTAGAGATGATAAAAATGAGGAATATTACAAGCGTAACTTACATCGGATCTTGACTCCGGGGTAGAGAACTCCTAAACTCCATTTGGCTCCGAAATGATTTCGCTACAATGACTCTTTGCAACTGAACTACGTGCTAATAGAAGGTGAATTTAGTTCTTACACTTTGACGTAGGGGAAATAGAAATGAACAAAGCTTTGTGTAGCTAACTTCGAGCCGATATTCACTAGTCATGGAGTAGAAATCAAACAAAGCACACTAACAAATTTAATAGAAAGTGATTGAAAGTTTCTTAGTGTCTTTGTGCTATAAAACGGAAGAGTTACATAAGTAAAAAGATTAGAGTTCATATCCGTAAACGTGACAAATGTGAAAACCCCTCAAACAAGAGTTCATTCTCCCAGTTTTTAAGAAAAAATGTTCTCTACTTTGCTTGCTCCTCAGCCAGAGAAAAATACCACTTGGAGTTGCAAATATCTTTTTTACAACAGTTAATGTTTTTGTCTTTAGTACTTAGGAGACATCATCATTTGATTATTACTGACAAATGAAGCTGCTGGTGTTGAAAGGAATTTGTTCATAATTGGTTGTTCTTGCAGGGTGCTGATGACAGCTTGGTAAAAATTTGGTCTAGTGAAGATGGTAGACTTCTAGCCACTTTGAGAGGACATCAGGCCGAGATATCTGACATTGCAATTAGCTATGAAAACAACCTTGTTGCAGCTGGAAGTTGTGATAAGGTATTGTCCAGTTATTATTATTATTATTATTTTTTTTTGTTGTTAAGGGGACTAATTGCAGCACCATTGAATTCAGGGATGTAGCTAAAGTTTTTAACAGGTGGAAATGTAGCAAGATAGGCGGGTACTTGGGCTGAAGGTCCACTCTGGAGTGCCTTTGGCACACTATAGGGGGGTTCGGGGGCATGCCCCCCCTGGGAAATTTTGAAAATACACACTCTCAGAGATGCATTTTCCTTGATTTTGGGAGCAAAATCAAGGGCATTCATTATGTCGCATACATGAGTTACAAATACCACTGGCCATTGAGCGTGCATAATGGACAATGCGATGCAAATGATGTGATCGTCATACTAAATGGAGTGTTTACAATCCTTTCAGTTCAGGTGAGACAGCAATGAAGGTGTAAACAAATGAAATAAATAAATAACAATCTTCTGGCAACATTTAAAAACGTTTTGGAGAAAGAAGTAGCGCTTTACAGCCAGAAATATCACGTTCACAGCCGGGTAATTTTCCTGGCTTCTGGCTATTATCTGCATCCCTGTAAATTGGCCTGTATGCTGTATGTGTACATGATATTGGTTAACCCTTTCACTACTAGATCTCTCTAGTGATTCTCCATTGTGTCTTCATACGGTTCTTATGATTTCAGCTTGGAGAATTTGGTGTTGGTCAATAAATAATCCCCTTATTGACATTTTTCTTTATTCTCATCACCTGTCTGCTTGACAAGTGAGAAATTCTGTTTTGTTTACTCAGATCTCACTAAAGATTCCCCACGGTGTTTGTCAGACAATTTTTATTATGTTAGCT